CATTCGTAGATGTGATTCACGGCGCAGTTGCTGCCTATTGTGGTGCATGTAAATGTGGTCCTGCACATATTTCCACAAAAAGCCTCAATCAAGACCTTAAAAGGTTCCAAATAGAGATAAATTAGGGTTACAGTGTCGCCTTAATCTGAACTAATTCCAGCTAAAACCACAATAAGTGCCAGAAAGTGGTTTCATCTTCCACTGTTTGCACCTTTCTGCATGTGAATGACAAAATGAAGCCAACTTTCACCTCTGAACTCAGAGTTATAGAAGTGATTTTGGTCGTCTGACTGGTCCCTAATGGAAAGACGAAAGATCCTGACACGTTTAGAGGTCCTGATTAAAAAAAAAAGTTTTTTATAATTGGTTTATGAAGAATTTTTGTTTTAAAATAAGTCTGGAAGTGTTTCCTAAAAGAAAAATAATTTTTGAGAATTAGTAGACGTCTTTACAATCAAATTTTAATTTAAGTAAAATTTTTTAGTGACAGTCCCCAACATACGCCATCTCTGAATGCTATATATAAACAAACAAAAATAAAAACACAGTAAAGAGGTAACAAATACAGAGGGATTGGTCCAAGTGTAGTTTCTATGGGAAGAAATACAAAGAATGTTGACAGAAATATTTGTATATAAAATGCGGAGCATAGAGGAAATGTAGTCAGTTTGTCCTCCAACAGTTTAAGTCTATAGCTGCATAACTAAAGGATAACTCAGGAAGCTCAAGCCAACCCCATCTAAACAGAAAGACTTGAGCCAAGTCCTAAAAGTAGAATAGTGTCAGCCTCAAGGACAAAAACTAGAAGTTACAGTAGTTTCATAAGAGAGGAGCCTGAGAACTGAAAACTCTGCCTCCCATTCTGCTTTTAGAAACTCTAGGAACCACAAGTAAACCTGCAGCCTGAGAGTGAAGGGATTCATTAGGGAACTTGTTCTCATGTCTTGGCCAAGACAAACAGCGGCTCAAAACAGCAATAATCACAACACACTTACATGAGGGATAAATTAATTTACACATCACAATCCCAACAATAACTTTAAAAAAATTAAATAATTAGTGCAAAAGGACAAAACAAAATATTCTCATTGTGGTTATCAACATAGAGCGCTAGCTCTGAGCAATCAAATCATTTCAATTCCGATTTTGCGTATCTAAAATATTTAAAATGCATTTAATTTGTTGAGATGAGCTGCAGCAGATTCAGGTGGTTTGAGAGCAAATTATCTGTGTGTGTGTGTGAGTGTGTGCGTGCGTGCATGTGTATGTGTGCTCGCAGCAGGGTTATTCAACTGCTCAGGGGGCCACAGTAAAACCAGCAGCTCAGGGACCGGACATTCATCAATTAAAGTCTTTATGTAAATGAACCAATGAGATGTTACCTTTTAAATTTGTTTATTTTTGCTGCATTGACGCATAAATGCAATAAACAGAACCCAAAAGTGTAATTCAAAGAAATGCTATTTCAAGATTTATGTCCTTGCAGTAAAAGTAGTTATACTCTAATGTGAAACTTTATAAACTAAAATGACACATTAATCAGGTCTCTCTTGTAAATGAGTCCTCGAGGCTCAACGTGTAACCTGTATAAATAAAGGTTGAATGAATTATGCCTCCTATTTAACACAAACATTATCCTGCCATCTCTGACATGACAAATCTTTACACTTTTCAAAATAAAAATTAAACGATTGTTTTTGATGTTCCCTGGATGACCGGCATCATGCTGTTCCATGTGGGTCCATTAAGAACCAGTTCTCATTTACAAAGTACAATAAAATGGCTGCACAGACCAGTTCTTCCTCTAACGCTTCATAAATCACAGGTGAAGCGTCCACGTCCTGCTCAGGTGTGAGCTTTGAGCCGAACCAAAAGAGGCGGAGCAGAACTCAGCTGGGCTGAAAGTGAGCACGATGCATGTCGAACGTCTCCTTCATGTCATTTACTAATGATTTAACTACTTTTAATCAATCCTATTATAACAATTTTTTAAATTACAAAGCTGCTGTACGTCGACATCTGTATTTCCCCAGTAATACATTTGTTTGTTGTTTAATCGGCCTTATGGATGATCACACACTGATATGATCAGTTCATGAGAAAGAGCTCCGAGAGCTGTGAGAGCCTCAACTCATGTTTCTGCTATTTTCCTTAAAATTAAACATTATTAACACCAACGGATATTCATAGGCGCAGATTAAAGCAAATATGTGTCTCTGTTTAACTTTATTTTCCCATAAACTCATACAGTCTCTCTATGAGAGTCCCAGAGAGACTGTGTGAGCTGCAAAGCATGATGGGTAGCCTTGTGGAAATTATATGTGCAATGTTTTTGACTGGTGAAGATTTTTTTGAAGAAGTTTTTGGCTTGAACGTTTTTTGAATGTTTTTGATTGTTTCCAATATTTCTGTGCGTGGAAATGGTTTGATCTTGTTCAAGTCCTGTTCAGGTTTGCTTTGGCATTCATGTTAAAGTCTCTGTTACTGGTTGTAAACTGACGCAATGAGTCCCTCCAGTAAAGGGGGAAAGCAGATCATAAAGCGAGTACTGGTATTCTTGCTGAAAAACAGTGTTCTTCTGTTTACTCGTGGAAATGTTGAAAATTGAGATGGACTGACACATAACACGAAAGCTGTTCTAACCGAAATATTAACCATTTAAAATTGTTTAAAGGTGTCTTTCACAAATAATTTCTGTTTTTTTTTTAAAATAATGAACTCATTGGACTTGAGTCACCCACGGTGTACAGTATTAATTTCCCCCTAATTTAGTCCAAACTTTTGTTAAAGTGAATGGTTTTTGTTGTATTTTATTTTTTACTTTTGTGGGAATTGTAGGTTTGTAAAAAAAAAAAAAACCAACGTGAATGACTAAGACTAACTTGATTAAAGGGAATATAGTTTAAAAGAACAAAGCAGATCATCCAGTATAAGAACGCAAATGGTAAGTGACTGTGCAGAGAGCATGAAGGACAAAATGGCTTAATTCTGGAAAAATAAATAAATAAATAAAACACTGATTAAGGATTTTTCTTTTTTTAGCTAATTTAATTTTTATGTCCAGACATTTTACATTCAGTTTGTTTTTCTGGAAAAAAAAAACAAAAAAACAACCACAATAAAACCAACATAAGGACAAGTATTTTTTCTCTCAGAACAGGTTGATATAGGTGGATTTTATTCTGCTCTGTCCTTTGATTCAAAATCTTACATTAAGCTACAGGTTGGAAGTTCCAGTTTGCATGCACATATTTCTTTATAACAGATTCAATATGCTAGTCTTCTATTGAAACCTTACATTTATGATTATAGACTATTTAAATTTTTAATTTTTTTTTAGAATATGGTCAAAAACAGTTGGCCTCAACTGGAGGATGGTTTAATGACAGATAAAATCCTATTTCAGACGGCAGAAAAACTACAATAAAACTGTTATTTGCCTTTATCTGAACAAAAGACATGTAAACATGACCTTCTGTCTGAAAGTCATGAAAATGGAGGAGAAGATTGCTTCTTTCTGAGTGTTGACATCTCGTTTTAACACATTATGTGGCCCCATCATGTAATATGGTGTTAAGAGGGGTGTGAAAGGGTCACACATCATGTATGCACAACATAACATGTATAATGTATTCTAAAGGTTATCTATCTATCTATCTATCTATCTATCTATCTATCTATCTATCTAT